AGCCACTATGGAAAACAATATGGTGTTACCTCAAAAAAATTAAAAATTGAACTTCCATTTGACCCAGTGATCCTGCTTCTAGGAATATACCCTAAGAAACCTGAAATACCAATCAGAAAGAATACATGTTCCCCCATGTTCATAGCAGCACTATTTATAATAGCTAAGATTTGGAAACAGCCCAAATGTCCATCAGTAGACGAATGGATAAAAAAGCAGTGGTACATATATACAATGGAGTACTACGCAGCTATAAGAAAGAAAGATCTCTTATCCTTTGAGACCACATGGAGGGACCTGGAGAGTATTATCCTAAGCAAAACAAGCCAAACAAAGAAAGACAAGTATCATATGATCTCAGTTATTTGTGGAATATAATGAACATAACAGTCTGAGGAATGGGGTAGTCCCAGAGATGTGGAAGTGGGGTACAGACTGACAGTCTCCAGAAGAGAGGGTGTTGGGGGAGAGATAAACTACAGAACTTATATACATGAACAATGGACATGGACAACAAAGCTGGGGACACGGTGGCAAGGGCTGGAGGGGGAAATCAGTGGAGGAAAAATGAGAAACATCTGTAACCAAAATAAATAAATTAATTATTAAATAAAAAAGTGTTTGTTACCAGATGTGTTAACTTGGGCAAATCACTTAATTGTTTGGGCTTTATCCAGGTCCAGAAAATGTCTGAGGGTATATGATGAGGTCTTCTCTAACCTTGATATGCTATTACCTAGGCATGTTTCTTTGATACTGTCATTATAATGGGTCTGACATCTGAATCTTAGAAATACAGAGGCTTAGAAAAAGTGTAAGAACCAATGAAGATATTTATGTGAAAAAACTTGGTGATGAATGGAGCATAGTATAAAATAAGTGAGAAGCACCAAATAAAGCATTATTTCAGGTTATTGTGATAAAAATAAAACTTAATAAAAAAAAACAGTATCTAGAATAAGACTAGTTATACGAGAAGGAAATATGAAAATTTTAGTTCCATTGATATATAGTGACTTTTTAAAAGGATGATTATGCAGTGAATGAATGATGGGTTTCTGTTTGTATACAAATTTCAAGGACTTCTGTTCATTGTAAAAGAGAGTTTAAGAATGCATTCCAGACGTTGTTGTTCAAAGCAACTTTGGTCTTTTAAAAAAATATTATTATTACACTGATGGATCATAGAAATCTTGTTTGATTTCAGGTCTCTATAAGGATTGGGCATGGAAGGAGGATATATGTGTGTCATATGAAATGTGGCTGAAGTTCAGAGAAATAGGTTTCATTTAATAGCTGAATACTGGATGACCTCACCATTGTTCTCACCCTCTGGCAGCTCACCCCGTGAGCAATAGAGGAGCCGCTTGCGTGAACTGAGGAGTAGCTGCTGGCCTCAATGTGATTTTGCAGTGATCTGTGTGCTCTATGGCTTCCTTCATAACCAACAAATCAATTCCCTCTATACGTATTACACACCCCAGTGGCAGAGGCCATTTATTATCCTTTTGATGGTCATACTCTTTGTACATAACCAAGAAAGATTACAGAGGAAGGAAAGAACAGCTGAAATGTGGGTGAAGGTATTGCACAATGGCACTGCATTTTATAATATGCCTTGCATGTATACAACAATAAAAAAGGTGCTTTCTTTCAAGACAATTGGAAACTCAGATGCAGAATTTTCTTTTGAATGAAATATATGTACGGAGCAATACATAGAGAGCTAGTTGTGGATGAAATTCTATATCAGTTTCCATTTAAACTTCAGGTGCAAATTCACAATGATTAAGGGAAAAGGACAGTCACTGTCATATTTTCTTTTCATGTGGGATTTGTTTATAAGGCTATACTTGACTAGCTTTGTTCAATTAATGAGCTTTCAATATATACTTTATTTGGCATCTTCTAGTATCAACTGATTCTTTTATTAATTTCTAACTTTGCAGTATATATTTTTAAATACTTGAATGATTAATTCCAGGTTTTCCCTAATTCTTTGAAGCCAGCTGCTATAGTTATCATTGTTAAACACACAAACACAAATAAATGTCAAATTGGGTTGATTAAGTACAAGATAACTGAATATTTTGAATTATTATAAATTATGATAAATTATAAATGGTACATAATAATGTTTTAGTGTTATTTGTCTTCAATCAAGTGCCCCATAAACAAATATGTGTATCTGAATGTGGGTGGGAAACATTTAACCAGTGAAACTAATGGTAAAAGCATGACTTTATAGTGGGTTTTGTGCATAAACATTTAAATTGCTAGTCATTGATGTCAATGGATATGAAAAGAACAGGAAATTTCCAAAGGTCAAAGAAGCTACTGTCTTTTCTGTTTTGCATCATTTGAGATTTTCCCGTTTTTTGCAAACAACACAATGCTAAATCTGTATTTGATTTTCTCTTCTCTTTGAAGAGGCAAAACAGTGACAGAATAATTAACTGAAGAGGAGATCATGCACAGAATATTTTGCTTTAGCAGTATAGAAAGTTCTGGGTTTCATTTCACATGATGGTAAACGTAGTTAGGTACTCTGGAATCCTTCTGTAGGAGAGTCAGTCCCAAGACAATATTGCTGTTGGTAAACCAAAGTCTCTTGGGGGCCTGTTTCCTGTGTAACTGTTCCTCATTTGTGTGATTGAAAAGCATGCTCAGTACAAAGACTGCACGTAGTTTTCATTTGGATGATGCGCTACACCTTCATGGCAAAACGCACGCAAGAACAACAAAAAGGAACTGTCCATGTCAGGTTTGGTGCCTCCTTAGTCCTGTGCGGACCAAAAGGGTGAAGTCCTGGGTTGAAATTCTATGCAGGATAGTGAGTTAATTTTTAACTTTCTGTTGTTGTTAGTTTTTTCTTTATTCCCCTCAGACTCTTGTTTCTATAATCTTCTCTTTCTCATAATACAATTTTCATCATATTTGATAGTCTTTAGAAAGAAATTAGTTTTTTTTTTTTTTTATGTAGAAAGAAGCATTGATGTGAGAGTGAAACATTGCTCAGCTACCTTCTGCACGCCCCCTACTGGGGATGGAGCTGGAAACCTGGGCATGCACCCCAACTGAGACTCGAACCAGAAACCAGGACAACACCCAACCAACTGAGCCACACTGGCCAGGGCAAGAGATGAGCTTTTATATGTAAAATCTGTCTATATGAATCTACCTAAAAATTCTATTTCAGTTATGTTCTCACACTGTCTCCACCAGCCATGGTGAGTAACTAAGTCACTGAACTATCTACTAAAGTACTACTCCTTCACTGGGAATATTTTTATCATCTGAACTATTTTGGGTTGAGAAATTTACCCAATTATTCTAGAGTATCTTTCAAGAACAGATTTAGAAGAGCTAATACAGAAATATGGCATCTGGTAATTATAAAGATTGATTACTACTTCAATAAAACCAACATTATTAAACTGATAGTGGTTTATACCAATGGTATTTACTGTTTTAATTAAATAACAAATATATGCCTAGCCGTGTTTATACTTTTTAAAAAATAAAAGGAACTACATAATCTTTTAGACATGTTTCTTGAGCTTGATGGAAGCCAGCCTATTTCCAAGTAGCTCTGGTAAATATAAGAAGAGGAGAAAGAGATAAGTAACAGATTGTGTGTTTCTCATTTGGAGGCAATAGCACAGGGTGAGCACTGATCAACTGTTTTTACTTCTGTTGACTTGGTCATTATATTGAGCCTGGGATCTGGGTGCCATTATCATGTTCCTTTTCCATATGAGAAAACTAAGGCAGAGAGAAGCATTGCAGCCATGCAGTCAGATTTCAGAACTTGCACTGTTAGTCACTAACCTATGGGAACTCGACTGTGTAGTCTCTGAACAAATTCTTGGGCCTGAGTGGAGAATGAGCTGTGACTCAGAAAATATCAGCATTGTGTTAAGAAATAAAAGATTGTTAAATTTTTAAGTTGATATAATTTTTGGTACATTAATAACTCATTTCAGTTTTTAAAATAGTTAACTTTTGCCAAGTTATATGCAAACAAATAAATCTAATCTTAAGGAGGGACTATTGTGGATAGATGAAATGAGTAAGAACATATTATAGATTTTAAGGATCAAAAAATAATTTTATTGTTTATAATAATTCATTTTCCCATTTCTTTTACAATTTTAATTGTTAAAAACTACACAAAATTTATCTTAACCATTTTTAAGTATGTAGTTCAGTGGTGTTAACCAATCTCCATAATGTTTTTATCTTGCAATCTGCAACTCTGTACCATTAAAAAATAATTTTATTTCTCCTCGTCTCATCCTCTGGCAACCACCATTCTTTCCAGTGTCAATGAATTTGACTACTCTAGGTACCTTCTAAGTGGAATTGTACAGTACTGGTCTTTTTGCAACTGGCTTATTTCACTTTGAATAATACACGTCAGATTTTCTCTCTTTTTAAAGCTGAATAATATTCCATTTGATGGACAGTTGGTTTGCTTCCACCTTTTGTCTATAGTGAATAATGCTGATATGAACATGGCTGTTCACATATCTGTTCAAGATTCTGCTTTGAATTATTTTGGATATGTAGTCAGAAGGGGTATTGCGGGAACATATGATAATATTTTAAAAAACTTGCAGACCCTCCATGTTGTTTTTCCATAGCAACTGCCCATTTTACCCTCCCACTCATAGTACACAAGAGTTCCAATTTTTCCACATCCTCATCAACGCTCGTTGTTTTCTGGCTTTTAAAGAAATTGTATACTAGCCATCCTAATTGTATTAGGAGCTACCTCACTGTGGTTTTGATTTGTATTTCTGTATCCATGGATCTTTATGTCCCCCTTTAGTTATCCATTATAAAGCAAAAATCAACATAAGTCATTTGAATCCTAAGTCTTTAAGAAATAATTTTATTCCATTTTACTTTCACTCTGTCTGTATTATTATCTCAGAAGATGTGACCTTTGGTTGTGCTTTAAGATCAGAAGTCACCTATTATTTCTTTGTTTGTAGCTGTCCTTCAGTTGCTGGCAGTACCGGGCCTGGAGAATTCTTCAAGCATCTCCATTTTGCACTGGGGTCGGTGTCTTCAGAACTTCAATTAGCTCAATGGCGAAGCCAGGCCTTCTGGTACATCATCCTGCTGATGGCCTCTCTCTGGTTCCTGAGGCTCTACCTGCACTACCTTAGCCAGTGGCTCTTCCTCCAGGCCATGTCAACCCCTGTTACAAAGTGAGTGCTCTCCCCTGCAAGCGAAAGGAATGCCTTTTCCTCTCGAAAGGCCAAACGAGTGTACAAAACTCCCCTTCCCTCCATTTACCATAAGACCTGAAGTGCAGGAATGATTTGAAAAGACAAAAATGTTTTTATCTAAGAGCAGAAATGTCTATTACAGTTATATTCACATCTTATGGGCCTATATATACAAATATATAACAGGTACATCAATATGTATTTAAACTTTGGCAGATTCAAATATGTTCTAATATCTGAGCAAAATTCAAAAAGGAGTTTAGCAACAATATTTTATTCTATTTTGATTTTATCAGAGTGACTTAGGCTAAAGTTATTTTAGAAGTAATGTAAGTATGATTTATCACCAATACTCAGAGAAGCAAAGACTGCTTTTTCTGCAAAATGATTGAATTCAAACAATTACCAAACTCAAGCCCAGGCAGCTCTCTGAGCCATTATCCTCTGGGAGCCGATGACACTTTAAAGGTTATCTCTCCATAAACATGATTCCATAGAACTATAAGTAGAGAAACAGATAGATATCAATGCTAGTGAAATTCATTTTCTCAAATGTAGATGGTACAGATAAAAATAAAGATGTGTGTACAGTTTCAATTAAGAAGACTACAAACAACTCTGGGATACTATGAAAAGGAGTATATCATCTATCCACACGTATGGTTTTTGATCCTTTAAAAAACTTAAATCACAAGTATCTGAATATTATAGAATATGCAAATTTATATATACTAAATAATTGTATCTTCAAGGGAGAATTTTTATACATAGATATTATTTCCTTCTTTTTTTCTCGCTTTCCTTTTTTTTTTCTTTCTTTCTTTCTTTTGTGTGAGGGTTTCCAAAGCAGAAAAAACAAATGTTATATGCTTGAACTAGTTGCTTTTCGCTACCGACTCTTTCATTTCTTCAGTAGAAAAGGACGCTCTATCGTTATTGGTTGTTAATAAAATAAAACTGCAAAAAAAAATCTTGACAGCGCAGTATATCCAATTTCTTAAGCAACAGAGGTATTGTAGGATGCTTTGCTGGCTATTGTCTACGGCTGCCAGCTTGAATCACACATCAGCTCCATGTCACATTGTAGTTATGAGACATGACAAAAACTATAGCAACAATAAGCATTTCTTCTTCTGTTTTAGGTTCTCTGCTAAGAAATGTACACACATTATTTGATATTCACAACAGCAGAGGAACCAAGCATAAAACTTCCTTAAAGCAAAGATTAGGAATGGATAAAATGCAGAACTCTTGTTAGTAGACAGCTGATAAGTAGAATCCACAAGCAGAATGAACTACAAAACAGCTTTACAAAGGCTGCAGTGTAGGGGAGGGAAAACCCAGAGTGTAATGAAGTCTCACTTTGGAGAGAAAGAAGGTATCAAAGCCTGGTCAAGGTTGCTTGAATTACTGGGCTCTGCATGGATTTAAACTGTAGGTCCTTAGATTGTGCCAAGTTGCCCCGTTTAGAACAACGAATATATTTGAAATTTTTCTCATTAGTGCTATTGATATTGTTGTATTTAGGAATCTATCTAGAGGAATCATAAGCAAAATGAATCAGCAATGTTAAAACTCTGAAGAATTATTCAATTTATTAGTATTCTAATTTATTAGCAATGGACCCATTAGTAAGTCTGCTGGTATATTTTGCATTTAAAATAACCCACCAGTGAGTGTGTGTGAACTACAGGAAAGTTCTCAGTCTCTAGAACTATCTGCTCAATGGATACAACTAATATTCTTTTTTCTGGTTGCATATGACACAAGAGCAATAAACAAGGTAGAATTTGCCTTTTCCTTGAAAGTGAGCTGTTAAGGTGGTACTAAGGGGTCAGAAAAAGATGAAGACTCCTAACACTTTACTTTGGATTACTAACAAGTTTCAAGTTTTGTATATTAAAAAAAAATTTTTAAGTATATAATTCTTTTAATTGTTTTCTACACCTGCGATTTTCTATAATTTCTCTTTGTACATATATTGGCTTTGTTTTTCCACAGATTCCAGTTTTCCCCTCTCACGGTTGAGCTTTGCTACCCATCTTCATCACTTCAAATCAGTGAAGAGTTGCTCGTGGTTGTGTCGGGGCCTTTAATGCTGAACGCAATGATACTTCCCTTGGTTCTGATCAGATGGGGCTGTCAGCTGCTTTTTGCTGACTGCCCTGACGCCTTGTCAAAGTTAATCATTGCCATGGGACTATGGACAGTTCTGGACCCATTGGCAGTGTTTCTAGTGGATACTGTCCTGGGGGTAAGTCAAGTAAAATAATTGGAATATGAGTCCTTGACATAGAATTTAGCTTTAGTGCATGAATCAGTTGACATGGAAGTTTCCATAATCATGCCCAGTTCAATATTTATCCTACCGTGAAGTTTTAAAGTTTTTCCTCGCAATAAAAATTTTAGATGTCTAATATAATCAATTTAAGTGCAATTTTAACTATCTTTTTTTTTTTATCCTCACCCAAGGATATTTTTCCATTTTTTGTACAGATAGAGTGGGAGAGAGAGAGAGGAAGGGAGAGAGAGAGAGAAACATCGACGTGAAGGGACACATCGAGTGGCTGCCACCCGCACAACCAACCAGGGCCGGGGACAAACTGCAACCGAAGTACGTCCCCTTAGTGGGAACCGAACCCAGGTCTCTCCGGACCGCAGGCCGATGCTCTAACCGCTGAGCCAAACTGGCCAGGGCAATTTTAACGATCTTAAATGAAAACTTGCTAAACAAGTAGGAGGTAATGTTGGATATGAAGTGCAGGCTAGTTGGCGCATTTTCAAAGAAACTTTATTTTGTCACTTTTTGTTGGTAACTATTTTTAATATTATAGATTTTTATAGTAAAACTTTAGAAAAAAATTAACCATACAGTAGTTCCTTTAATTATTTACGTTATTTATTTGCTTTGGGAGGTAATACTAATTCTTCTATAATAAATATACTGAAGAAGAATAAAAGCTTTTTAAACATTTCTAAGTAATAATAATTTTTTAAAAATTACTCTATAGGCATTTATTTAGACTTTTGGATGCTTATAAAATTACAAGAACAGTATTTTCACCCTACAATATATTGTTTAAAGATTTCATGATTATGGATGATGTACTAGAGTACATGATGATGTATAAACAACAATAATAATGATTCTAATATTTGAAGAACACTTTTAATTTTTCAAGCACCTTGACACTATTTGATTATGTATTTACACCACCACTGTGAGCTGGTGGGACAGCATCCTTCTGATTTTACAACTGAAGAACTTGGTCACAAAGAATTGCATGATTTGTCGGGCTATACAGCCAGCATACACCACCACTAGGGCTAGAACCAGGATTTGTGAATTCCAAGCCTGTTTTTTTCCGTTATACTAAAATCTCTACTTTAAAGTTTGACTCAATATATTGCATTGTGAAATCAAATGTATGTTATTCCTGATATCAATATTTGATTACAACAAAATATTTAATTTACTAATGAATGTTGGGACTACAATTTGAGGCAAACTTGATGTAAATATTAATATAAATTTAGTGCCACCCCCAAATCTCTTGTTGCTTTGAATTTGCAAGGCCTAGCATTTCCTAGTGAGTGTTACCGGTTTGGGTGAGTCTGGAGTAGGACCTAATAATTTTCATTTCTAATAAGTTCCCTGATGACACTGACATAGTTGTTGGTCCAGGGACCATGGTTTCCAGAAGTACTGACATCATAGGCAAGATCTGGCAAATATGCTGGGAGGACCTAGAATTGCCAGTGTAGCTTGGAAGGGCCAAAGCTTAGCAAGGCAGCGCTCAGTGGGGACACTTGACTGTCCTGCCTATTAACAACCACACAAAACCTGACATTTGTTTACTTTGTCTAGTTTCACCGAAGTTGGTAAACACCTTAGATCAAGTGATCAAGCAAAAAATTAAAAATATTAACCCATAATGGAATAATTCAAGCCAAAAAAATACTTTAATTTGGAGTTGTCATATTTTCAAGCCATTTCAATAGGCAAAGAGAAAGGAAATCTGAATTTTAACTAAATTTTTGTACTGTAGATCTGGCTATGAAATATAGCTCCAAGCAAGAGAGCAGATGGATACTATAAATAAATCAAAATGATCAAATATTTATAAAATTATCTTAATCCATGAAATAATATTCCATAACTGGTATATTTCTGCTTTTAAGAAGAAAAGGAAATGTTTTACAACTGATATATCTATAGACTGTATTCATTGTGCCAAGCAGATCATAGTGATGGACTGAATACTTGTTAACTGTATTTCAAATGGATTCTACCATTAATTATATGCTTTTAGAACTAAAGACCAAATTGCTTCCAAATTGCATTCATGAGGCTATTGTCCTGGGTGCTGGGGTGAGCAGCTCAGAGCAGCAAAGCCTGCTGCTGTTTTTATTTCTACCTCTCGGGCCACAATGTTCTAGAGCAGAGCATCTCTGACGTTAATGTGGTGTAGTCACCTGGGAATGTTAAAATGCAAATTCTGATTCAGTAGGTGGGGCCTGAGATTCTGTATTTTAACAGATTCATAAGGGATGCTGGTTCCATAGACCAGACCACACTCTGACAAGGTGCTAGATGCTTTACTGAGAAGGTTTCTCTCTCCCTTTGCTGTTGGCTAGGCTGGGCTTTCACTTCCTAAGGGTTTCTGGGCTGCTCTTGAAGAGACTGAAGTCCTTGATGCCCCGGGTCCATTAATGGCTTTTTAAAAGTTTTGTGGGAGGATTCTGACTGCTTATTCTGAGTGGATTGACCTCTGCTAGAAATGCTTAGAAACTGGAGAGAAATGAGATGGTTGGCTCTTCAATCCTGTAGATCATTTAACATTGTCGAAGTGAATTAAAAGCAGTGAGCTACCAGAGTATCTAATTTCTAGTTCCACTGCTAGGAACTAGAGGTACAGCCCAGTGTCAAGGAAAGCTTATCAGTGTTTGGAAGGCTGACTTGTTTTCATGTTCTAGCCCATGAGCATACACTGCAGCCCCAGTACCACTGGACATATTGATGACAAGACAGAAGAGGGAGCTTTGTCAGTTAGAAGTGGATATGTTTTCTAGTCCATCTCTCAATTTCCTCACCTGTGGATTAGCCTCATTCTGATTGAATGGATTAAGCTGGAGCCAACCGGGTTTCGTTCTCATTCCTACTTCTCTCAGCCTCTAGGATAGTGAGGAGGAGAGGTGCCATCTGGGTTTGTCGAGCTGGAGATGAAGAGAAATGCCGTCTGCATTCTGGTGGGCTCAGATCCCATGGCACCTCGTGGTTCCTGGCAGAGGCCTGCTGTGCATACTGAGCAGGCAGGGTGCTAGTCTGACTCTCTTGCAACACCACATGTAAAGCTGGCCCTTACGATCTTCTGAGATCTCCCCATAAGGAATGGCTTCCTTATTTCACTCAGGCCCCCCCTGAGAGATTAGTGGCTGAGTGGTCCACTCTATCAAAGGCAACTGAAAAAAATGAGCAGCCCCAATTTACTCTGGGGCCTCTGATGTAGTATATAGGAAAGCAGCCTCTAGCATGGCCATCTCAGAACCAGTTTAGAGGTCTGCAACTGATGGAAGCTGACTTGGATGCTAATAGTTGAGTATAGCACCCACGTCTCTCTCTACTCAGAACGAAAAGCTGAAAGCTCATTTCCAATCGGAACAATTATTGACTCTCCAATTCGGATCCATCATGTCTCATTGCAGATGACATCTACGCTTGCTGTCTTTAATATCATCTAACGCTGCATATAATCCACAGGTCTGCAGCACTGGAGTCCACAGTTGGACATCCCACGAATTCATCAAAATGTGTATGTGAACATACTTTGCAGTAACTTAACAGCACATTGCATTTTAAGAAGTACTGCTCTAGCCCTGGCCGGTTTGGCTCAGCGGTTCGAGCGTCGGCCTGCGGTCCTGAGAGACCCGGGTTCGGTTCCCGCTAAGGGCGCGTGCCTCGGTTGCAGTTTGTCCCCAGTCCTGGTCGGTTGTGCGGGTGACAACCACTCGATGTGTTCCTTTCACATCGATGTTTCTCTCTCTCTCTCTGTTCCTCTCTCTCCCTCCCACTCTACCTGGACAAAAAATGAAAAAATGTCCTCGGGTGAGGATAAAAAAAAAAGAAGAAGTACTGCTCTAAAGCAACAGTTCTCAAAGTGAGGTTCTTGGGCCAACAGTGGTAGTTTCACCTGGAACATAATAGAAATGCAACTTTGCAGGCTCTGAAACAAATCCACTGAGTCAAAAAATCTGAAAAGGGGTTCAGCCTCTGGGAAGGGCTATGTGTTTTAACAAGCTGAGGACCACCTGTGTTTGATCCAGGTCAGCTCATCAAAAGAGATACTACCTAATTATGTATTGATATTTTTTGTTTTAAATTGATTTTTCTCATGGCATCCTAAAAGATGTGGCAGGTGGAATTATTTGAGGTCAAAGCATTGAGTGGTTGTTGATGTTTCTAATAACTCTTCACCAGTCTCTCACTTTGCTGGCCCAGAGGTTGGCATTCCCCAACCCCCACTGATGCTGCTATGTTCAAAGTTCCTTAGAGTTTATAGTTTCCTTCCCTGCCGGTGTCCTGATGTAGATAAAAAGTAGAGGAAACTTTTCTATTGAATGTTTTAATCGAGCAGCATGTATGTATTTACTCTATGCACCCTGCACAGGATTTTAAAAGATACTGAATGAATATAGCATTGTTCCTACCTGCAATGTAGATAGGGAGATATGAATAACAGCCAAGAACAAAGATCAAACAAAGGTAGAATGCAAGCATTTTCTTTCAACAAATATTTCTTGAGAATCCATTAGGAGTGATTGTAAAGTAAAAGAAAGAGCACAGATTTAGAGTTAGGGGAGTTGGGTTCTGGTCCCAGCTCTGCCATTTGTCAGCTCTGTAATGTTGGATAAATCAGTTAACCTCTCCAGTCTTCAGTTTCCTTATACGCATCATCAAAGTAGTAATACCTACAAATATTAACACCTACCTTACTTATTTCACTGCATTGTTGGAAGAATCAAATGAGAGAGCAACTGAGTATAAACTAAAAAAAATCTAAGCACCATACATATGAACTCAAAGGAAGAAATATAAGGATTATAATGAAGTGATGACTAATGCTTTGTAGATAATGCAAGATGTAACAGACCCAATGGCCCAGGTAGGACCTTATAATCTAGTTAGGGAATCAAAATATACACACAAAAGGTATAGTATGGGCAGTGTGTGATAAATGTCATCGGGGGCCACCTGGTGCATTCCCTACCATCTTTCAGATCTTTGTTCAAATGATACTTTTATACTTTTCTTCATAATATTATCCTCTAATATACCCCATATATTATTTAATCTTACTTATATTCTTATCCTCTTGCCCTCACCCCACCAGACACTTAAGTGTAAGGTCCAAGAAGGTAAAGCTTTTGTCTTATTTTATTCACTCTTTTATCTTTAGAGCTTAATGACGCAGAATGGGCATTCAATACAATACACGTGTGCCAAAGGAATGATTAGTATCTATTGATTAGATGATGTTATGAGCATTGAACACATATCATTTTGTTTGTTTGTTTGACTGATGAATCCCATGCCTATTATTTTTCCCTTAAACAATAGCAGAAAAGTAAGATCTGAAATAGGAGAAATCCATGACAACCCTTGCAGATCTGCTACCTAAAATCCTAGCAACAGGCTCACATTTTGCGAGTTAGACCAGTTAACAAGTACAGATGTAAACAGAAAGTTTTGGTGAGGTGAGGAAAAGAGCAGTAGTTCAGAGTAGGAGCATCTAAATACTGATCACTGCCCAATCACTGAAGGGTATGTTGGTGTAGGGAAAATACAAAGTAATCTCTCTAGGCTTCTGTCTTAACCTATTTGTGTGTGATTTATATTAGCTATTTTTGAACATGCCCTTTTAAACGACATTTATATAATTATCAGTTTAAAAAGTAAAGAAATCCTTCCTTCTCTCTTAATTGGAGAAAAAAATATTGTCCTATACATTTGCATCGCATATTACTTCCACTTGATACCATAAGAGTCATAAATCACGTTCATATTTTACAGAACTCAGAGGTCAAAGACATCCTGTGACAATGCTTTAGTTTCATAGCATTTTGTATTTGTTTTTAAAAACCTCATGGCCTTGAATTTATTTCAAACCCAACACAGAATCTGCTTTTTCTTGCCTAAAATAAGGACTTACTGTTAAATTGACCTAATGTAAACTTTGATTTTCAAACCCATGGTAAATAGCCTGTTAACGTTTTTATAGGTTTCTAAAATAAGCCATCTATTTTATGCATAAGAGTAATTAAATTCTTCTCGAATTGGCTATAAGAAGACAGGAATCTTTCCATCACCATGTTCAGTTTCTTCATATCTTGTGTTCATTAAATTCAGAAGTTAATAGTACATAAATAAAAGATGGTGTTTACTCCAGGAATTGCAAACAGTATGCATGTATTTAAAAGCTTATAGGAACAGTGAGGAAAAAATTGGTAAACCAACCATGCAAATCCAGTCTTTTTCTTTTCCTTTGTGATCATCAAATTTAATTTAATTAAAAAAACAAATCATGGTATCCTATGGTTTTTATGAATTTAAATTAACCTAACTTGATGATTAGTGTCTCCATCCTTACTTTTTTTAAACTTATGTTTCCTTTTGCCAGCGGCTCACACCTGCTGGGGAGGGTCCCGTGGCTGACGCGGCAAAGCTCTACTGGGCGTTTGTGAGAACCACACAATCGGGAGCTCTTGGTGTGATGCTCACGGTGCTAATTGACATTCTCCTGGTCATCATTTCTTCTTTGATCTTATATTTGTACTGTCTCAGGTAAGGTGCTTCAGTATTTTTGTTCTTTTGAGTGTTCAGCCTCTCGTCGTGCTGTTACACGCTCAGGGTAGGTATGAGAACATGGTTAAAGTCGAGAAGTCAGAACCCTGTCTGCTGAAGAAGAAATCTTCTTGGTTGTATGTCACAACTGTCATGAAGACCAGAAAAGAAAGTTTTTTTTTAACTTTTGGAGAAATGTTTTTTGATAATAGAGAAAGCGAATTTTGCTGTAAATGTGTTTGCTCTATACTTTTTTCTTCCACCCAGAGACCAACAGAAAATAAAAATAATCCCTTGAAATCCAATGACATTCTGGAAATGTTTTGAGAAGCTTGTCTAAAATTTTCTTTTTCTCCTCTTTCCAACCCACTTCCTTCCCACTCTCCCACCCTTCACAATATCACCGATAGAAGAATCATCCTTTAGCGTTGATCCTGAATATCATAAAGCTTGGTTTGCCAGGTCTTTGATTTAGCAAGCAATGTATCTTCTGAAGAAAAGCAAGAAAAACAACAAATACAAGGCAGTATAGAAAAATAAAAGGACGTCTTTTCTCCCTGTTGATGGTTTCCTTTGCTGGGCAGAAGCTTTTTGGTTGATATAGTCCCACTTGTCCAATTTTGGTTTTGGTGTCTGTACTTTTTAAAAGCCATTTTTATATCTATGACATAATTGCCAACACCAATGCCATGAAGCTTTCTCCCTATGATTTCGTATAGAAATTTTAAAGTTTGAGGTCTTATATTTAAGTCTTTAATACATTTCATGCATGACCATATATGTACATATATGGGAATTCTAAAAGAAAGAGGAATATTGAAAACACCCAAGCAAGGGAGGGTAGGTGGTTGTTCCAGGTCTGTGAAGACACAGGTAGAACACATGTGAACACAAACCTTGAATTTAGGAAAAAGATCTTGTTTCTTGATGTGATAAGAAAAGAAACTAGGGTGAATGCAAATGCATGGAGGTTCCTGGCAGGGAGCTGAGGGGGTTCACATATGATAGCCATTATTATTTTCTATGCAGTAGGAGGTGAACTAACTCCTCAACTCCTCCTTCAGTAGACAGAAGAGGCCCTTCCATAGCTGCAGTAAAATTGTCTGATTCTTTGAGGGATGTATGTTGTCTCAGCACAAGCTTGCTTTATATTTTAACATGTCCCGGCCACTGCATGTCATCTTTCCACAGCATTTACTTTCCTAGGAAAGGGAAGGAAGTCTTCCATGATCATTCAGTTTTCGTTTCACTACTAACTTGTTGTATGGCCCTAGGCAAGGATGCTCATTGGGTAGATGTTCAGGCATTTTCTTGTGTATCATGATAAAGATAACACATATGTTTAGATCTTATAAGTGGTTCTACATGAATCATTATTATTTTAAATGACTAGAATTTCCCAGAAAAGAATTTCTTCTTTATTTTAAAGAAATAAAATAATATATCATGTAGTTTAGAATTTTGTAGGGTTAAAAAGGATCAGATATTATGTATCATTTATTTCCACATCAATACATCTCTTTTCCCTTAAAATAAGGTGAATGCTTACAACTACGATTTTCTTTGTCCAAGGTCTACATTTTTATTATCAAGATAACTTGTGAAGTATGAAAAAGCTTAGAATGTACGCATTAAAAAACTAGATTTTAATCTTTTGCTACCTAAAACAAATAGTTGTGTCTTAAAAAGAAACAGAAACATTAAATTTCTATGGGGAAATGTGGGCAGGAGGAGCAGGAAGTGTTATAACGAATGGAGAGCTGATCAAAGAAAAAGCAAAGATAGATAGAGTTTCTGGACATCATAGAGAATGAACCTGAAAAAAATCCAGGGTGTATGAAAAAGTTTTGTTCGCTCTTTCAATCTAGCTTCTGACTGTCTTCCAGGCTTAAACTATCCTATTCAGCACAGACATGCTCAGTAACCAGTAGCACCTTGTGCTTGTATTTTAGAAGCAGATGCTCTTAAGATTATTTTGGATAATAATAGAATTACAGTGATCTCCCACAGAGAAAATACCTGTGTTTTCCCTATCAATAAATAAAGTCACTCTGATATGTCCCCTGAAAAAAAAATCTCTTTACTGATGTTTGCAAAATATCTTTTTCTGAAATACTAGAGAGCTAGGCAGCTCAGTTCTTCCATGAAGACTGCACTGCCCTTATTGGACGTATCTGGTTAATGCAGTAGGGTTTTGCTTTGGTATACGAGTAGGCAGAGACATGAAAATCATAAGAACTTAGTGATAAATGCCAATGTGGATTTGTGTGTGTGGACTGATGTAGGTTAGCATCTTAATCCAAATGTTAAAGCGACAATTCTGACTCTTTCTGGGCTCTTGGATCAGAGCCGTCAAACACGTGCTAGCATCGTTGGAGTACAGAGGTGAAGTCTGTTGTTCAGGCTGTTAACAGAGCACTTTGTCTAGCTCTGAGCACTGGGCGCTCCCCATTATGGGGATAGGCTGTACAAGCTCCAGCTTGGCCACTACTGAGTTTGGCTGATTGGGTCTGATTCCTCCAGGAACCTGTATAATTTTCTGTTGAAGGGTTTCTACTGGAAAAACTTTCCCACAGCTGTATCAGGAGAGCTGACTGGCATGCTAGTTCCTTGCCTCTGTTCAAGGAGGTTTTTTAGCTGGGTGTAATTATTTGGACTGAATTATATAGGCTTTAAAAAAGCATTAACATTGTTAATGATTTTCCTTCTTATAGGAAAAATATATGTTGTTATAAAAAACTGAAGTAAAAACCACCAATAATCTTACCATCTAGACAAAATATTACTAAACTTTTGGGTAAATTTATTTCATACTTTTTCTCATGTATATTTATTTTTACAAAGTTGAATTCATACTGTAAGTATAACTTTATCTGTTGATTTTACACTTAATATTATGTGATAAATATTTTCAAATTTTTTACTTCATGAACATTTAATGCCTACATAATATTTTATACAATATAAGCAGTATTAAATATTTAAATATTTCTTTATTCTTGGACAATAGATTGTTTCTCATTTTTGTACATCTTATAAATAATTCTGATGAACATCTTAAGACTCAGGGGCTTGTTCATATTTTAAATTATTCTTTGACTGGTGTCCTAGACACCCAGAAATACTGGGTTAGAGAGTGTGATATTTCTTTTTTTTTTCCTCACCCGAGGACACTTTTTCATTCTTTGTTCAGATAGAGCAGGAGAGAGAGAGAGAGAGAGAGAAACATCGACGTGAAAGGGACACATCGAGTGGCTGCCACCCGCACGACCAACCAGGGCCAGGGACAAACTGCAACCGAAGTACGTGCCCTTAGCGGGAACCGAACCCGGGTCTCTCCGGACCGCAGGCCGACGCTCTAACCACTGAGCCAAACCAGCCAGGGCGAGAGTGTGATATTTCTAAGACACTGGGTAACTATCGCAAAATTGTTTTTTAGAGAAGTTGGGTTTACACTTCCACAGCAATGCATGAGTGAACCTACGAACCATGTTCACATCATGATCTAATGTCAGGCATCTCATTCTTCTCCAGCTGCGTATTTCTTGGTGTATGGTAATTAAACATTCCTAATATGCTTGCCATTCATTTGTGTTTTCTCTTTGTGAATTGCCTTCTCAACGTCCTTTGCCTTTCTTTCTATAGAGTAGTCAAATGTTCTTCCACTGAGTTATGTGATTTATATACATATGTATTAACCTGTTGTATTTAAGACATTTGCTTTATTTTATAATTGCATTTAAATGTTTTTTTATTTAAAAATGCATATTTATAATTCATATACAGTAAAATATTTTGATCATTTTTATGACATTTAAATATCTCTTAAATTTAGAAAAATCTCCCCTCGTTCAGAAATTTTACAACTATTTACTTCTATTTTTATAGTTTCTAGTTTTTTGCTTGATCTGCTATATAAGCCATGTAGCATTCATTTGATGTGGATAGTGTCAAGATCTAAATGAGAAACTTTTTTCTTTTTAATCCTCAGCTGAGAGACATTGATGTGATGTGTGAGACAAACATTGATTTGTTGCCTCCTGCACGTGCCCTAACTGGTGACCAGACCTGAGCGTAGGTCTGTGCCCCGACTGGGAGTGACCCAGTGGCCGTTTGGTGTACCAGATGATGCTCCAGCTGACTGAGCCACACCCACCAGGGCAGGAATCCCTTTATCTTTTATTTTACTTTTTATTCTTCTTTGAGTTGGTATTACCTTTAAATATTAACTGTTTTGCCATTTTGTCTTACTGGATTTTATTTTAAGTCATTTTAATGCATCAGCTATGTTTCCAGTGTGATGAACAAAGCTTCTCTTTTCTAGAGCTTCTTTTAAAAAATGTACCTTTTTACCAGCTACTATAGATGGCCGTCTACAGGCACTGGGAAGCACTGTGAGGTGGTCTCCACCTCTCCTGCTGTTTGCTTTGTGCTTGGACTTGCAGCGTTCCTCAGATCCCTCGAGTAGAGCTTTGGTTGAAGTGATATGGATCCTTTAACTCTTTTTTTGGTACATAAAATATTTTTTTATTGTTGACGGTATTACAGATGTCACCATTTCCCCCACTCTGTGCCCCCGTCTATCCATGGTCCTTTAACTCTGAATTTTTTTTTTTTTTTTTTTTTTTATCCTCCCCAGAGGATATTTTTCCATTTTTTGTACAGATAGAGTGGGAGGGAGAGAGAGGAAGGGAGAGAGAGAGAGAAACATCGACGTGAAGGGACACATCGAGTGGCTGTCACCCGCACAACCAACCAGGGCCGGGGACAAACTGCAACCGAAGTACGTGCCCTTAGCGGGAACCGAACCCGGGTCTCTCCGGACCGCAGGCCGATGCTCTAACCGCTGAGCCAAACTGGCCAGGGCTAACTCTGAATTTTTTATCTGAATAATCCAAAATATCTACAGGCTCTTACAGATTTCTCCACAATATACAGAGAATGAGAACTCACTATTTAAATGTCTGATTTGTTTAAGCTTTTTCATTCCTGGAAGCTGT